CTTCTTGGACATCTCCACACCCTGACTCTATCAGCCCCAAACTCCCTCTTTTATATTCCATTAGAATATGAGCTTCTTAAGGACATGGACGTCTTTCTTGCTTGTGTTTGTATTCTGAGATCTTAGCATGGTGCTTTGTCTGTTTCTGTCTGTCTCTAGCCACTCGTCTGTCCCTCTATCCAACCATTCACCTATCCATCTATTTATCTATCTCCTCATCTGTCCATCCATCTAACTTTCTCTCTATCCACTTATTTATCCATCCACGCATCCACCCACCTATCCATCTATCTATCAATCTATCTATGTATCCATCCATCCACCCATCCACCCATCCATCTACCCATCTATCTATTCATCTGTCTGTCCACCTACTGGCCTATCTATCCATCATCAATCCATCTATCTAACCATCCTCCTATCCACCTATTCATCCATCTAACTATATCTAATCTCTCTATCTGCTCATCTATCTATCCACCTATCCATCCATCTATCTAGTTATCTCTCCATCTATGTGTCTATCTATAGAACACAAGCAGCATTGGACTAGGAAACAGAAGACATCTTTTCCCGTCCTGGGTCTGCTCCCAATCTGCTGAACGACCTTGCTAGGTGAATCCTCCTGCTTCTCTGAGTCTAGGTTTCGTCATCCATCAACAGAGGGGGTTCAGACATTCTGTGCTTCTTCCTCCATAATCACACATCAGACTCAAAGTCCCTGAACTGCAAGAGCCCCGGAGGAGAGGTGAATTGTTCAAGGTCATGCAGGAAGTTCATTCAAACTGTAGATTTTGAATTGAACAAATGTTTGTTTTAAACTCAGAGTTTAAACCTCTGCCCCTGATGCACAGTGATAACACAGCTTTAGAGGCTGACCCTCAGTACATCCTTGCTCTATTTTCTCCAACTATTTACTTCATTTGGCCATAAAAGAGCTATCTGCACATGCTGGACTCATCCTCTGTCATATGTATGTGGTTCAATGTCCTAGTCACCTGTTGATGTGTGACTGTCGATGATAGGCACATGAAAGCTTGTTGCCAACTATAACTATAGGCCAGAATTTGAAACAAAAGATTGAGGCAGCCTGAGATGGGGGAGGGGGAGTGGGAGGGGAGGAAACAGCTAGGTGGTGCAGTGAATAGGGAGCTGGTCAGGAGTCAGGGAGACTCATCTCTCTGAGTTCAAATCTGGCCTCAGACGCTTATTAGCTGTGTGACCCTGGGCAAGTCACTTCACCCTGTTTGCTTCAGTTTCCTCATCTGTAAAATGAACTGGAGAAGGAAAAATGGCCAACCACTCCAGTATCTCTGCCAAGGAAACTCTAAATGGGGTCACAGAGAGTCAGACATGACTGAAAAATGACTTAACAACTAGTGAGATCAGGGTGGAGGTGGCATCTGTCTCCTTTTGTTCCTTGCCTGCCCCTCCCTTTCATTTACATGAGAGATGCAAAGATTCTTGGGAGGTGGGGGTGAGCAGGAGGTGTGGAACCTGAGATTTAACCACTCTTTGGGAGCATGTTGAAAGGCAGCAGACTGGTCCAATGGCTAGACTAGTGCTGGACTTCAAAATCAAATCCTGCCTCAGGCACTCACTAGCTGTGTGACCCTGGGCAAGTCACTTGACCTGTCTGCCTCAGTTTCCTCATCTGTAAAATGGGGATGGTAATAGCACTTACCTCCCAAGGTTGTTGTAAGGATCAAATAAGATTATAATTGGAGCACTTAGCACAGTGCCTGGCACATAGTAAGCGCTATACAAATGTTGTTGTTGTTATTATATAGAGATCATAATAACACCTCCCTTCCAGGATTAGTGCAAGGTTGCTAACATTTATTGTTATTAAAATGATATCAAAAGGTTCAGCAGTCAGTAATTGTCGGATTTTCTAAAACTAAATGAAATAGAGGCTTGGGACAGAGGCGTGGCTCATGGTGAGCAGCAAAAGGAAGGGCCTCAGGCAGAATCAATGCCCTGAGGCTCTTCTTAGCTGGCTGAGGGTCCAGGCTTCTAGAGTGAGCCAGCGCCCTGGAGGCAGACCCTCCATCGGGAGAGAGAAGTTGTCAGAGGCCAAGATGCTCCCAGGTGCACATCATGGTCTCTTTACGGGGAGAAAGCAGCCACGGGCTTCTGCCTAGTCTGATTCACACTCCCAAAAATGTCCCCTCCAGCACATCCCCACCTTCATTCCTGCTCCTTCCCCCTGCCTGGAATCCCCTTTACCTCCAATCCACCTGGCAAAAAGCAGCCCTATCCTTCCAGACCCAACTCCAAACGTTTTTTCGGTCAAAACCTTTTCTGTCTGCAGTAAGTGAAAGGGAATTCAGGCCCTTCCTCCTCTGAAACAGTGTTTTCTACCCTCCCGTATAGTGCTTAAAGCCCCTTTTGTTTTTGTTTCATCATTTTCAGTGGTGTCCAGCTCATGGTACCTTTTGAGGTTTTCTTGGCAAAGATATTGGAGTGCTTTGCCATTTCATCCTCCAGCTCATTTTTATAGACAAGGAAATTGAGGCACAAGGTGACACAGCTATTAAGTGTCTGAGGCTGGATTTGAACTCAGATATTCCTGACTCCAGATCAGGCAACTCTATCCACTGCTCCACCTAGATGCTGGTACTAGATTGCAAACTCCTTGAGGACAGGACTTTGATCCCCATTCTCAACAAAGCATCTAACTGTGCCTTGCACAGGAAGCGTTTGGGAAATGGTTGTTGAATGAAAAGGTCTCTTAATGAAGATTTCAGACTTCTGCCGCTGGATTCTCCTCCAGGTCCCATGAGCCCTTGGGAGCTCGTTCTGTTACACTATGAAGCTGTCCTGTTAAGTCAGGCTTCCTCAGTGCATGGGGGAGTTAGTAAACTTTGTTCGTGAGATGCTAAACTCGTTTTTACAAAAACATACATGGATACATCACATGTAGCCACCAGGGCATTCCCCCAACTTGTGAATGCCCTCTTCTCTCAAGAAGCTACCCCTCCATTCAAAACCATATCTCATAAGCTCTCCTTACTTTTACTAGTCAGAAGACAAAGCTCACTGGGCAGCCTGTTTCATTTTTTGGACAGCTCTTCCTTTTCTTAAAAATTTCGCTTCAGCACACATTCCTTCTTCATTGCTGCCTAAAGGCCCCTCCCCGAAGCACACTCTAGTCCCTGAGGTGGGGGCTGGAAGGAGTATTCCCTAAGTGATAAGGTTTCCTCTTAGGAATAAGGGTCAGGGTCCTTCAGGGTCAGGGCTCTCTCAGACACAGGACTCCGGGTTTATTCCAGAGATGGTATGTATTTCTGTGGCTGGTTGGGGAGGGAAAGGGGGCTGGCACAGGAAGACAGTGTCTACCTCAGAGAGGAACTCTCCATCCCAGACCCTCAGAAAGGGGATAGGGCATACTTCAGAGAGTGGACTTTCTTCTTGGATGGAGCACCTTCAGGGCTGGGTTTTAGGGGGAGGTATCCCTCAGAGACAAGTCTCTTTCTGGGATTCCCTCAAGGTCAGAGTATCCCTTTAGAGATAGGGAGTTCCTCAGAAACAGGGTCAAATTCAGAACTGGGTTATCCTTCCAGGGATGGAGGCCGTGCCTTACAGACAGAACGTCCCTTTAGGGATGGTTTCCTCCCAGACAATGCTGAACAGTAGATGGGGCTGCCCTCAGAACCCGTATCCTTTACAGAGGAGGCTTGTTTATCTAAGTTCAGGACTTCTTTATTTACCCAAGGGTCAAGGTTGCCTCATAAACAGGAAACTCTCCCACATGGCTTCATTTCTTTAAATTAAGGACAAGCCTGGCTCACAGACTGGTTTATCTATTTCCCTCCTATGAGGGGCAGTCCTCCTCGACAGGGAGTCTCTCATACATGGATGGGTTTATCCCATCCCCACAGACGGGCTAGAGTCACAGATGACTCCCTTCAGAGAAGATGCACCCCCACACCTTTGTTTAGCTCAGAGCCTGGCTCGTTTCCCTCGGAGGTGGGGTTCGTGGCTCACAGGTGGTCCATTCTCCCAGAGACAGGGCACCCCACACAGACCGGTATATTTGCCCTCCCAGCTTCATTCCTTTTGTGGTTCAGTGAATCTCCCTCAAGGACAAAACACCCACCATCCCACTCCTTATTGGGTTTATTTCTCTCACAGAGGAATTGCCCCCTTTTTTTCCTTTGTAGAAAGACCCCCGCCCCCCGCAGCTGGGTACAAATGGTTCTCCCCCCACCCCGGGTTTATTCCCTTTATAGATGGTTTATTTCCCCATAGCCAGCTTTATTTCCCCCATTGGGGTGTACTTTTCCCAAACTGGGCTTCTTTCCCTCCTTGGGGCTCATTCCCCCATGGCCAGGCTTTCTTCATTCCGGTTCGGTTCCCCTGGCCCTGCTGATTCCTCTCATCTGGGTTTTCTTTGCCCACTGACTTTGTTCCCCTCATCGGGGCTCATTTCCCAGCAGTTGGGTCTATTTACCCCACCCGGGGTGCATTCCCCTCACTGGGGTTCACCCCTCCCCCACTGGGCTTATTTCCCCCCGCCCCAGGCGCTGTGTTCGCTTCCGGAGGACGGCTCATTCCCCCACGCTGGGCATCTTTCTCTCATTCCTCCCAGGACCAAGTATCGCTCTCATTTGCGGTTTATTTCCCCACAGCAGGGTGGAGTCCCCTCGCACGGGTTTATTCCCCGCCCCTCCCCACAATGCCTGGATTGCCACAGAGGTGCTTGATTTCTCCCACACTCGGGTCTATTTCCTTTCTCCTCCCCGCCCCTCCCCCCGGCCCGCTCCGCCCGCAGGCCCCGCCCCACTCCCTGCCCGCCCTCCTCAGGCCCGCCCTCTCGCCCCGCCCCGCCCCCTCCAAGTTCCCAGGGTCAACCGCCAGCATGAAGCTCAGGACAGAGGGCAGGAAGGCGGAGCCCGAGGCTGGCTGAGCGGCGGAGACTGCTACCAATAGGGATCTGAGCATGGCTTGCGATCCCGCCTCCTCCTCCAGGGCACCAATAGGGTGCAAGGGGGCGGGCCCAACGAACGTCCGGGAGTGGCGGGCACCGGGAGTGGGCGGCCGGAAGTCAGTGCGGTTTTGACAGGAGGGGGTCGGCGCGGAGGCAGCGGCGGAGGTGAGTGTGTGCGGCCCGAACCGGGCCGGGGCGGGTCGGGGCCGCTGATCCGGAAGCCCGGGGAAGCCTCCTCTTGATTCCTGGCATTTTCGTGGCGTTCCAAGTGTGCAAAGCGCTTTGTGCCCGTCCCGCGCCGGCGGGGCAGAGATTGTTTACCTTCGGCGTCCTGATAATAGCCGCGGCTGCACCTGTCGTCACCCTGGCAGGGAGCGCCCATGTCATCTTCACCATCACCGCCAGCATCATCATTATCCCCCTTTTACAGGTGGGGAAACTGAGGCTGGAGTCAGTGACTTGCCCAGGGTCACACAGCTAGTATGTGTCCGAGGCTGGGTTCGAACTCGGGTCTTCCTAATCCCAGCCCCAGGACTGCCTAGAGCTGCCCCAAATCACGTTGTCAGGATGAAAATAGATCTGTGCCTGGTGCTGTAAAGCACTTCGCCTCAGTTCTCTTCCGGGAGATAATTGAGGTGCAGCCTTGGGAAGCAGGAATTATGGGTACTGACCATCGTGTTATGTTACATTGTTGTTTTATAATGCAGATGAAACTGAGGCCCAAGGAAGGGACAGGATGGACATGGGGGGGGGGGTCTGCCCCTGTGGCTGCATGGCTGTAGGGCTCCCGCCAGACGAGGTCCCGGGTCTGCTGACTGTCTGCCGGGCTCTGCTATTAACAATGATCACCCGCAGAAAGCAGTCTAGTATCAGCTTGGGTAATACTCCCCGGAAGCTGTGACATTGAAGGGCTAAGTCACCTTCTTAGAGGATCCCTATAGCAGTGACCACAAAAATGGGCTTTTACCTGATGCTTCATAGGCACCATCCTACATTAGCCTCACAGCAGTCCTTCAGGTACGTGCCACGGATGTTTGCCCCACTTTACAGATGAGGAAACTGAGGTTCAGGGAGAAGTTACATGATGCATTATTAAAACAGATGTTTCTATTACTCATTAAAGTTTCTAAGGCGTGTTTGTGTACAGTGTCTCAAATGAGAGACACACCAGTAGTGTGGACTCCGTGGGTTTTTGTGAGATTCAAATAAAGTCCGTACTGGAGGTATGTGCCTTTTACAGATGGAGAAAGTGAGGCCCAGGGAGAGGAGGTGACAGTGATAACAGATATTTACATAGCTCTCCTCAAATGTTGCCTCCCAGAACCTTGAGGAGGGTGCTCCTCGTGAGGAAATCCAGTCTCAAGTGACTTGCCCATGGTCATTAAGGCAAGCAGAGTCCAAGGTAGGATTTGAACCCAGGCCTTTCTGATTCCTGAGGCCAGCACACCAGCCACTTTGCCAGGCCGCCCCCCCTTGGCTAGGAAGTTGATCGAGAGGCCAGGGTAGCTGGCGTTGCTTTGTGGCACTGCTACTTCTAGCCATTTGACCTTGGGCAAATCACAGAATTTGCATGTGGAAGGACCCCAGAGGCCAACTAGTTCAACTTGTCCCTGAACAAAAACTTCCCACTACAACATACCCGAGCAGGTGGTCAGCCAGCCTTTGCCTGAAGAGCCGCCCCTAGTGCCTCCTTACCAGCTCCCACCCATGCTCACTTCAGTTCAGCTAAAAACGTTTCTTTAAGTGCCTGCCACGAAGAAGGTGCTGGTCTTATGCCCTGGATCATTTCTAGTTCTGTTCTCTAGGGCCAAGCAAAGCAAGTCTTCACCTTCTTCCGCTTGAAAGCCCTTCAGGTACTTGAGGACAGCTCTCACTCTCTCGTCTCTCTCTGTCTGTCCTCCCTCTCTCCTCTCCCTTTTCTTCTCTCTCTCTGTCTCTTCTCCCTCTCCCCTCTCCCTTCTCTTCTCTTCCCTTCCCTTCCCTTCTCTTCTCTCTCTCTGTCTCTGTTTCTATCTCTCTCCCCCTTCTCCCCTCTCCCTCCTAAGTCTTAGCTTCTCCCAATTCATTATCTCCGGTGGAATGTCCTTCATCATCTTAGTTGCCCTCTTTTGGACATTGTCCAGCTTCTTGACGATCTTTTCTAAACTGTGGTGCCCAGACATGAGTACAGTACTCCATATGTGGTCTGACCAGGGCAGAGGACAGTGTGATTTTTACTGTACCTCTCTTCCTCACCCTCCCCACCCCCAAGCCAGCTGGTGGTACACAGTAGATAGAGAGCTAGCCTTGGAGTCAGGAAGACCTGAGTTCAAATCCAGCCTCAGACACTTACTAGCTGTGTGATCCTGGGCAAACCCTTAACCCTGTTTGCCTCAGTTTCCTCAGCTGTAAAATGGGAATAATAATAGTACCTGCCTCCCAAGGTTGTGAGGACCAAATGGGATAATATTTGTAAAAAGCATTTGGCCTAGTACTGTTGTGGTCTAGGGGTCTTGGGAACCCGGACAGCAAGAGCTGTCTTCAAATGCCAAGGGCGCAGGTCTGCCTGGGAAGAATTTGACCACTCAAGCCTTCTTTCAGTCCAAGTAGCAAGTTTCATTTGTGATGCAAATAGAATAGGGCCAGACTCCTAGTGAGTCTGCATTTGGGAGGAATAAGACTGACTTTTTTTACAGGGAAAAAGATTTAGTGGCAAATAGCCTGGAGTGCTCCCGAGGTCACAAAGGCAGGGTCTGGATGGGATTAAGGGGTATGAAGTAGCCAGGAGTGGTCTGGAGGTAGTGGAGAAGGAAGGGCTGAGGTGGGTCGGGCCACAGTGAAAGGACAGTGGAAAGGACTATTGAGTATCTAGTTGGGGATGTGTGGGAAGGCTCAGGAGCAGAGCACCTGGGCCATGGTAGGCATCTCATGGATGTTTACTTTCCCCCTTTGTCCCCCCCTCCAGCCCTGGACGTGATGTCTCCCCACAGGCTGAAGACTGAATTAGGGGCCGATGTTTTGGCTGTCCAGCTGGCACTGAGTTTGTAGTCCATGAAAGGCTTCTTTGGATGAACAGCTCTCTCCAGCCCGGCCTCCCTCATCTGGTGCTTGTAAAGACATTTTTGAAACTCAAGTATCAGACTGTAGTTATTCCTTGGAAGGTGACCTTCTCTCTTCAGCTCAGGGTTGGAGGCCATTGAGCTCCTTTGGGATGCTGACTCGATCATAACATGAGCCAGCCGTCCCACTGACATTGGGTATCTGCACATTCCATAAGCATACACTCCAGGCCTTTAACTACATCGTTCAGAAAGAGGTCGGGGGCCAGCTTGGTGGCGCAGTGACACTTATTAGCTGTGTGACCCTGGGCAAGTCATTTAACCCAATTGCCTAAAAGAAGAAGAACAGAAAGAGGTCAGGTAGCTTCCAGCCAATCCCAGCTGGCAGCTGAGCACTGCTCTTGGGGCGCTCCCTCTGAGACCTCCTGGTGCGACTGAATGGCCGCTCTTTGGGGGCCACCCTTCCGGGCACAGCATCCACCTGATTGTGCTTTTGCCTACTTCTTGTCTCTCCCTCTTATCCATTAGAATAACATCGCACAACTGCTTGGCTAAGGAATGAAAAGCATGGATTAAGCTCTTACGGAATGTAAAGCACTGTGGTAAATGCTGGGCATACAGTAAGAAAATCCAACTGGCCCAGCTCTCAGAGAGCTCACGTTCTCATTGGGAGAGATGTCACATATGCCACAAGCCTCATGTCCCTTCGTATTCCATGGCAGGGCTTCCCAAGGAGAAGGCATCTTCTCTAGTATCATTCCCATCAAAAACCATTTCCGGTTCTGGGGCTAAACTATTTGGTGCTGCTGAGGACCCTTCTTTTGGGGTCCTCAGTCTCCAGGGCTAGAGCGTGCACGAAGGTTGCTTCCCCCGATGGCTACCGTCTGAGCTGGACACAGGGCCGGGCACCTGGTAGCCCTGGGGCTCTGGGCCTTGCCTGCCAGGCTGGGGTCAGTGACAGTTGGTGGAGGGGGGTATGTGAGATCCCTCCTCCACGTGGATCTTTGCTGAGTGGAAAAAAGGCTGCCGTGGTTCCCAGGTGCGTGGGCGTGGTGGCTTCCTGGTGGCTATGACATGGGTTGGCTGGGATCTGAGGGCTGTGGGGAGGCGGCAGGGGTGGTTTGACTGGCTTATTGTGTCTCTTTTCCTCTCACTCCCTCAGGGCCCCCCGGGCTCGCTGGGCTGCCCTGCTGTGCAGCAAGGTTAGCATTTGGTCTTGGTTTTAAAAAAAAAATGGGTGAAATCTAGAATGATCAGAATTGGTTATGAGGAGTTTACTACAAGTCAAGGTCAGGCGCATGGACCTGTACTTTGCAGATGACTCTTTGCCTGTCTCAGGGATATTGGGACAGCCTTTGCCCTTTTCCAGTTCTCTGGCGCCTCTGTCGTTCTCCGTGATCTTCCCAGGTGCAGTGACAGTGGTTTGGGAGCTGCTTCTTCTACTTCCCTAAGCCAAGGCCGTCCAACTCAAAGAGGAGGGCCGCTGATTGTGCAGAAGGACCCCTGCACTTTGGGCCACACAGTAACTTCGTTTTAAAACGTAATATTATCTCTGCTTTATTGTATTTCCATTTATTTTGTTGCCTGTTTTCCATTCCATTTGAATCTGGTTTGGGTCACCCTGGGGGCCGATGGGGGCCACATGTTTGACACAGCTGCCCTAGGATGTCGTTTATCTTCACTAGGTCCCTGAACTCATCTCTTGACTTAGCATGGTTGTCACTGTAACACCCTGCTGGCCACTTTTGTCCTGCTCTTACCTGTGCAAAGACGTTTTCCTTGGCTGAGAAAACAGAAGCAATAGAAGAGCTGAGCAGCCCTTTGTTCTGCCTGACATCCATTACTACTCTCCCATTTGCCCCAAACTGTAGTCTGACCCTTTCTTTAATTTTCCTTTTCCCCCTTTCTGGCTTAAAGAAAAAACCTTCCTTACATTCCGTAGTCTTCTTCACCAGCCTTCACTTATTTTGAGGTTAAGCACATATTCTCATACGTCATGCTTCTGTATTAATGTTCTGGTATCTGCCCTGAAATATACGCATCTTCTAAGCATCATACATCTATACAGTAGATGGATCTTCTATATACATCTCTTATGCATCTCTTTCAAAATCTGTTATTGGTAAG